CCGAAGATCTCTCGTGCGCAAGCGTCCAGGCGATAAACCGATTCTCCCGTAGCGATTTGGCTGTTTTCTCGTGTCGCTGTCCGGATAAGGGAGGCTCGTAAACTGCCTCGGTCTCTCTTTCTCTCTCACTCTCTCTCTCTCTCTCACTCTCTCTCACTCTCTCTCTCTCTCTCTCTCTCTCTCTCTCTCTATCTCTCTCTCTAGCTCCCTCTCGCCGCTTTCGATCTTTTTCTTCGTTTGCTCGAGGGTATAGGTAGCCCCGAGATAGCTTGGAGACACAAAAGGAAAAAAAAGGTGCACCAAAGAAGTTGGAGTGAGAGGGGCCCTAAGTGCTGTACAACAGCGTACAACACACCTCCTATCAACCCACACACACACACACACACACACACACACACACACACACACACAAACGCACGCGCGCATGCATACGCACGCACATGCACACGCACACGCACACACACACAAAGAATGACGACGACGACGACGACGACATATCGAATTTTCAAGAAAGTTGACGCTGATAAAAGAAGAAAGAACTTTGTAAATTACTATATGCCCTATCGCTAAAATTATGTTCAACATAAGATTCTTTCTTTTGTATTTATTTTTTATTAAAAGAAAAATTGTTCTTAAACCACTTGTGCTTTATTTTTTTTCCCCATCATTCTACGTGGACACGCGCTCGCGTGGACACACACATACGTCCCAAGTTCTATTATTGATGCATTTAAATACTTTTCACTTTCTATTTTATATATTTCTAATTTTACGGTTATGTCGGGTTGAAAGATTTTTCTTAAAGCGACGTCTGCAATACTCGGCGCATGCATTATAGAGCTTTTGCACATATAAAATGAGCTAATACATAGGCCGTATAATAAACGAATTCACGTCCCATGGATATATAGATCATTTGATTGAAACGGTAGATGGTGTTTTATATCTTCTCTCTCTCTCTCTCTCTCTCTCTCCCATTATATTTCATACCAATTTTCATATACTTACGTGACTTGACTTACATTAGCGAACTAATGTCGCAGTTTCTAAAACGACTGATCTATTTCGCGATCTTCATTGTATTACAATATAATTCTCAATCTTAGGGAAGTCTGAAATTCCAAATTTAAATGTGCGTATAATATACGCGCGTTAGGAGACGTTGTTATCTGCTCGTAAGATCTAAAAATTCTCAAACGAATGTAAAGTAATGCTAGAATTTCTTAACTCGACGCTCAAATCTAGGAAGACACGTTCATATTTTAATGGAGAAATCTATCTCGAGTAATACAATTCGTGGACGTAGGAGGCGCACAACGAGTATAAACGGCGCGTGAAATAAAATGGATGAATTAGCGAATCGTATAATGTAAAATCAAGAAACCAGGTTAAAGCGTATTTCAACAATTTTATTAATCCAGATAAAAAATTGCTTTTATAGTCGAACGATTTAAAAGATATTCGCTCATTGTAAAATTTATTCATACAGGAAATTCACGTGATACGTACGCTCGCTCGCTCTCTCACTCTTTCTATCTCTGTACTTGCGGAGGGGAAACGATTTAACGCTTATGCACGAGATTTAATCGATGCTGTAAAACGTAATTTTAATCGCCATACGCTCGCGCGAGCGCTTCTCCGTCAATTTTTAATACTGACCTAGTCTCGGTCTCGCTTCGCCTAGGGATAATCGCAAATCGTAACTTTTACTTTTGTCAAGATATACAGACCTCCCGAGGCCATGAAATATTCATGGGAACAATAATCGAATGTATATAATACGGATAGAAACAGCTACACAAGGCCATAAAATCGTTCGTGGGTGGAGTGGTTTGTAAAGTCTCTCTCACTCTCTCTCCGTCTCTCTCTCTCTCTCTCTCTCTCTCTCTCGCTCTCTTCTTTCATTCCTTTTTTCTTTGAATCTCCATCTCTATCTCTATCTCTATCTCAAGCTTTAACTATTTCTCTCCTGTTGCCCATCTCCTTCTAACCATCAATTTCAGCTTGACTAATAAAAGGGTTCCTTGCACTTATCCGGATTCTCATCGATATGGAACCTGGCCAGATATAAAAATAATTTCAAGACACATCATCCATGTATTTACGCGCACGGTAAGCAATAAGGTACTTTAAACAAGAGATATTTTCGTATTTACAAACGAATTTTAAAAACCAAATGTCGGATTAATAAAAATACAGTACGCGGTGCCCATTGACCGCTAGCCCCGCAAGAAAATAATACGCTTCAATTGGGAATATCTTGGAGTTAACTATAAGTTTATGATCGTATTTATGAAAGTTCAACGTATTATACCTCGCTGTATACGTGTGTGCGTGCGTGTTTATGCGCGCGTGTATTAAGAGCGTGAAGTGGAGGGATTGAATGCTTAATTTGATGAAATATTGTTGTGGGCTCGTTTGGCTCGTTGGAAGGAGTGAATGAGGCTGATTATAGGTGGATTAGATAGCAAGGTAGGTGGCGCGAGGCGGTCGGTACGCCAACGAAATTCCAAAGCTATAATCGCCGATTGATCGCGCAGTGCGATCGAGCGAGAATAAATAATCGTCCATCTGTTATAGCCCGGTTTACAGTTTCGTACTGCCAAAACCATACGTACATCCTCCGCACGTTGAAAAGCCCAAAATCCCAAAGCCGCAAGGCCCTAAGCAATCACCCGGGGAAGCTCTAATGCCGGCAATAAGCTCAAATCACCGCTTAAGTACGAAAGCCGGTGACGAGAGTGTCGGTAGTACGGGTGGACTGGATGAACGGCTGGCGCGAGAGGGGTTGGGGGGAGTGCGGCGATAGCACCGCGCAGCACGGCCCGGGGAATCGGGCGAGTACAATAATCAATCGGTCGGTATTAGACGAGAGGAATAGAGGATCGATCGATGGATGGATGGATGGATGGATAGATGAATGGATGAATGAATGAATGGATGGATGGATGGATGGATGGATGGATGGATGGATGGATGGATGGATGGATGGATGGATGGATGGATGGATGGATGGATGGATGGATGGATGGATGGATGGATGGATGGATGGATGGATGGATGGATGGATGGATGGATGGATGGATGGATGGATGGATGGATGGATGGATGGATGGATGGATGGATGGATGGATGGATGGATGGATGGATGGATGGATGGATGGATGGATGGATGGATGCTTCGTGACGAGCGTGACTTGGGTTCCCCGGCGCCGGTAGCAGTGACATCTCTGGGCCGCTGCCCGAAGCCGAGGCTTGAGGTGATGGCCGCGCGGTGGCGCTCACGAAACCGACGCTCATGGCCGACCAACGGCCAACGGTGATTGGTCCGTACGTTGGCGGCCATCATGAATTCCTGGCATAGTTTGCATAATGAGGCCCGTAATGGCCGCGGTCCCGGCCAATCATCCGCATCCTGTGGGGTGTGGCCTGGGGATGGGGCGGGACTATTGTAATCGGGGGCGGTTGGCCATCGGTCTGTAGTGGGGGCGGGGGGATATGGCACGAGCTGCTCGAGAATGGCCTTGGGGGCGGCGTCAAGAGGGAGATGCCCGGTGATGCGCGGTGAAACCGTGGCGGGGGCACTTTTTCGGCTGGCCCGAGTAATCCGGGCTCGCGGACCCCGCGCCACTTGGACAGGATTATCCGCGAGCCGGGACGTGCGTTTCGCGTACAACTCGCAAGTTTTATCAAACTTGTCCGTTATCAGCGTCGTTGCCCAAGGTCATTACAAATCCTCGCTTAATTATGGCCGATTAATGGCGAAAGACCGGAGCTGGCGACGGCTATTTCCATATGTGCGAAGCGCTCGCTAATCGACGGCGACTAATTTAATGAGAATTGGGTAAGGTCAAGATGATAATAAAAAATTGACCCGCATTCGGGCGTTATTCGGCTCGTTGTACAAAACTATAAAATCTAGATCGGAGTAACAGGTGCATAAATATGAGAAGAAGAAGAAGAAGAAGAAGACGACGAGGACAATGAGTACAACAACGACGACGACGACGACGAGGACGATGACAATGTTGCTTGTATCGAATGCAAATCGGTCGACGTCATTCGCGTTGGGAAAGGATGAATGGACTTTATGGCGACTCGTAAAATTAAAAATCCCGAGTATGCGCTCGTGAACGTAAGAGCGAGCGAGCGATGAAAGGGCATCGCACTACAGAGAGAGAGAGAGAGAGAGAGAGAGAGAGAGAGAGAGAGAAGGATAGATAGAAACTAGACGGCACGCGGTTGATGTCGCTGGGCGTTAAAACGAAACGGCAGATCGGTTGCTCTCGCTCGCTCACGGGGTGTCGGGGACGTAAAAAAATTTTACGATCACAACCAATAAAGTGACGTAAGCTCGAGTAGTCTCTTTTGGCGTAAGCTGGTGACGTCACGGGTGCGCAAAACAAGCCCCAGACCGCTAGACAGACGTGGACGGAGATAGAAGGCGGAAGTCTGCTGGCGGATTCACCGGCAATGCGCCTCAGGTGCGTATAATTCTCCTCGGTTGAAAGGGTGCCGGGGCGTCGGGAGGGAGGGCGAGGAGACAAGGCCAAGTGTCGCGCGCTCCGTGATCGAGCTGTTGGCGAAAATCGTCCTCCTCATCGCGCATCCTCAATCTTTAACGATTCACGCGGCCAGGCGGGCGTTGGCGTGGTGAGGAGCGAGGGAGGAGACGTTGGAGTAAGTGTGCCATCTCAGTCGAAACTGCATCTCGTAAAGGCGAGCGGAAGGCCTAGTAATATAGCGCACGCTTGACTTATGACATTCTCTCGAGACGTCGCCGGCCGACGGTGAGTGTGGGAGGGTGCGGGAGGGAAA